GGTGCTGTGGAGTTGGTATCAATTCATACCGACCATCATGCACAACAGAATGAAACACTGATCGGTCCTGAGCCAGCGTCTAAATAGTTGTTATACTTGAGCCCATCGCTGCTGCCCCCGTGCTAATCCATCTAGTTGGGGGTCTTCCTCTTTTTTGCGAAGCCTCCACTTTACCAAGCATGATGTCCTTCTCCAGGGACTGGTCCCTCCTGATAATATGTCCAAAATATGAGAGACAAAGTCTGGCCATCCTGGCTTCTAAGGAGCACTCTGGCTGCACTTCTTCCAACACAGATCTGTTGGTTCTTTTGGCAGTCCATGGAACTGTTAATATTCTCCTCCAACACCATAATGCAAATGCATCAATTCTTCTACGATCTTTCTTATTCATTGTCCAACTTTCACATGCGTATGAGGTGATTGGAAATACCATGGCTTGGGTGAGGTGCACCTTAATCATCAAACTGACATCTTTGCTCTCCAACACTTTAAAGCTCTTTAGGAGCCAGGGTTGTGAGGCTTCATCTCTCATACTTCAGACATGTTTTTAAGAGGGACTAGTCCCTGGAGAAGGACATCACGCTTGGTAAAGTGAAGGGTCCGTGAGAAAGACAAAGACTTCCAATGAGGGACAGCAGCAATTGTTTTAATGGTGAGGATGGTGCAAGATTGGGCAGTGTTTTCTTCTGCTGTGCATAGGTTTACTATGAGTTGGAACTGACTCAACGCACCTAACAACAAGGACAAGAACATATGCATATGAGACTTGGTCATCAGAAAATCAGTGCATTTGAATTATGGTGTTGAAAAAGAACCTTAAAAGCACCATACATAGGAACAAAGAGAACTGTGTTGGGAGAAGTACACCCAGAACGCTCCTTAGAAACCAGGATGGTAGACTTTGTCTCTCACACTTCGGACATGCTATCAGGAGAGACCAGCCCCTGGAGAAGTATACCATGTTTGGCAAAGTGGAGGGTTGGAGAAGAAGAGAAAGAACCCGGTGAGATGGATCGGCACAGAGGCAGCAGCAATGGGTTCAAATGTAACAATTGTCAGGATGGCGCAGTGCCAGGCAGTGTTTCATTCTGCTTGTGCATGCGTCATTACAAGTCAAAACTGACTTGGTGGCACCTAACAATAACAATCCATCCAGTCACCCATCTATCTATTCATCATCCATCCACCGCTGTACTCATCTAGACACATCTAGAGCCATTCATGTTCTCTTCCATCTACTCACCTGTTCACCTGTATACCCACCCATCCATCATCCATTCACCTGGATAGCCATTTCTTTGCCCATCCACCCATTCACCTATCAACCTATCTGTCCATTCATCCAGATGCCCATCTGCCTATGTATGGCCCCTCAAAATATGTATCAGCCTGACTGAATCAAGGCTCTCAGTGGTTTTGCAGTTATGTTGTGATGTAATGAGTCAGTGACAGGGGCGCTGTGGTTCTGTAGGGTAGACACTTGATTGTTAACCACAAGGTTGGTGGTTTGAGCCTACCAGCTGCTCCACAGGAGAAAGATGGGGTTTATGCTTCTGTAAAGATTTACAGCCTCAAAAACCCTATCTAGGGTCACTTTGAGTCGGAGCAGACTAGACGACATTTAACAAGAGCAACAACAACAGTGTGGTAGTTATGTGATGGTACCTCATGATGGGATAAGTTAATAAGAGGGTCAAGGGTAGGCTGTAATACCCTTGGAATCCTGGTGTGGCACTGTAGGATGAGCACTGGACTGCTAACTGCAAGGTCAGTGGTTCAAGCCCACCATTCACTCCTAAGAAATCTTATACAGGTCGCCATGAGTGGGAACTGACTTGAGGTGCTTAACAACAACACCAACAACAAACAAAAGCAACACCTTTAATTCCATCACAACCTTGATATGGGGGTTTCCCAGGGGTGTGACCTGCAGTATCATTTATCTTGCAAGAGACAAAAGGAGAGAGAAGTAAGCAGACATAGAGGGACTTATTAGCACCAGGCAGAAAGGTCAGGAGTGGAGTGAGTCCCTTAGGGCTGGGGTCCCTGCATTGTGAAATTCCGAGATGCAAGGGAATCCTGATACCAAGGTATGTGGGGATCTCCAAGGAATGCTGGGGCTACAGAGGCTGAAAGGAGACAAGCCCCCACAACTGACACAAAGACAAAGCCCTCCCCTAGAGCTGGCACCATGAATTTTTACTTCTAGCTCCTAACCTGGG